ACTATTTAGGGACCTTCAAGAAAAGAGCCTACTCCGTTTTAAAAGGCCGGCAACGCATCTGCGATTTCCCTGGTATTGTAATTGTTCATGGGCGGCGGTAGTCACTTACCATCAGGTGAGCCGCATGCTAGTTTGCCCGCTCTCCTGTAAAAACAAAGAAATTTGAATTTTATTTATATTTACTGATTAATTGTCACAAAAATATTTATTTTATATTAGGTTTTGGATGCGTAAGGTGTCTTTTTTGGATATATATTATATTTTTAAAATTAATTTGTTATCAATATGTGAAAAGAGAGAAAATGATTTGGTGCAATAAGAAAGTCATGTTAAATCTAAATAAAATTATCCAACACTGTTTGCAAGATAAAATTTTTCATCTTTTGAACGTATCTCTAAAGAGAATTATATGCTATGTTGAAAAAACTGCTATACAGCGTAAGCAATAAAAATATTCCATTATATAACTGATTAAAAACTAATGGCTGCATGATAGAATCCATAACATACATAGTACAGCTACAGTTTTGGCTGTTTAGCAAATTGTCGCCAATCAAGCAGAACTTGAAGCTATTTAAAGATATAGGAAAAGAATATTAAGGTTTTAAGACGAATTAAAGACCGCACTATTGAAGCAAGACCTTGAGTTTGAAAGTATCAGCTTTATACCAGTCACCTATAGTCCAGTACTGTCGTTGCATGTGTTTCGGACATAGAGGATATGATTGCGCAGCAGATAAACCAACCTGCGGTTATTGTGCTGGAGAGCACGATAGCAGACAATTTTCACGAAATAATGGAGCACCTTCATGTGCTCATTGCATAAGAAATAAAATTTGGGGGGACCATAGCCACCCAGTATACAGTGCCGAATATATTATTATATACGGTCCCATTTCTGCAATACTAAGCAGTATGGCAGAAATGACCGTATAGGATATCATCAGTTGTGTACTGTTAAAGTAGTTCAGAAAACGGACATCGAACACGAATAGATGAGTTCAAACACTAAAAATAATATGACAGAAGAAACGAAAACTATAAAAATCGTTGATCGATTTAAAGTTAATCTTGGACGAGGAATGGCGGGATACAAAAAATCACTTCAAATCGCCGTCAACCAAAGAATTACCCTTCTTTTACTGCAAGAACCATATATCGGTTCAAAAGACGTTACTTGCAATCGCACAATTGATTAACCGGTTAAATCAGCAGTCATCGTTGTTGATCCCAAATACTTAATTATAGAAAATCCAGAATTCATTAGTGGAATATTGTAGGTTTTATAATTAAAGTAGGGAACCATAGCAAAGGAGTAATTAATGTGTATTTGGAAAAAAATGGAGAACTTGATGAAGATATCAGAAACATAATGAAAATTGCACTGAATATGGACACCGAATACTGATGTATTCGGTGTCCATATTCAGTGCCGTCTTGGCAGTTGACTTCAATGCAAAGAGATCTTGGTGGGGTGCAGAGACGAAGACAGGAGGGGATTACACTTATCGGAAGTAATAGCATAACTGGACATGAAATGGACATAAATTGATAAATTGGTCAAAATTTAGGAATGTTTTAAAAGAAGTTTTAGAAAAGGATAAAATTTCAGAAATAAATATCAAATTGATAAAAACACCAAATGATCTGGAAGAAATTTTGGATAGATACGTTGAACAAAAGAATAACATAACTTGTACACCCTGGTAAACTATGAAGTTAGGTGCTGAAAGACGAGAAGTAACAAGGCTTAGAAGAGGAATAAGATTTGAGAATTATAGGCGTAAACCCTATGTTATGAATTTACTGCAGCTAAAGAGAAATATATCTCCTATATCTTCCCGTGGATATCTTAAGAAGCGATAGAGGGAAACTGAGGTAAAAGGTGGGCAGCAGCATCTTTCCGATAACAGCAAAACAGAAATAAAAAGGAATAAGTCCCCGGCGGCCCCGCTATTTCTTGCTACGGCGATGGCGTATGTGGACTATGAAAAAGCCTTTGATTCCGTCGAAATTTGGGCGTTGCTGCAGTCCCTTCAGCGATGCCAAGTTGACTATCGGTATATCGAAGTGCTGAAATGCTCGTACAGTAGGGCTACGATGGCTATCCGAGTACAGAACCAGAGTACGAAACCTATCCAATTGCAGAGAGGTGTAAGACAGTGTGACGTGATATCTCCGAAACTCTTCACCGCTGCATTGGAAAAAGCAGTAAGCAGTAAGCTTAGTAAAATAAATGCAGGTGGCTGAGAATCGCTTTGTGGCATTCCTTGGGGGAGGCCTTTGTTCAGCAGTGGACTTGTGAAGGGCTGTAAGGTTGATGATGAAAGATAAATAGGTTAGTCATATAATGTCAACAATCACCGCAAGTTAGAAATTTATTAAGTTAGTTAGTTAGTACAAAGCAGGGGAAAGAGACCATATGGCAGAGCATTTACAGTATCATTAGGAGTTACACTGCAACAAGTGAAGACAAACTTTTACGTTTAGGAGAAAACATTCTAAATCCAGATAATTCAGCTGCGTTACTAACTAAAATATTCGACCCCGATGATGAAGTAAATAAGGACACCGAAAAACAGGAAAAAATTCGTGACGAATCGAATAAAATTGTGAAAAATCTCAATCATCTCATCAATCCTCTCATCCGTCTCCATTAGTTTTAGGAAATTCGCTGAAGAAGAAATAAAAATGGTACTTCAAAGAATGAACACCAAAAAAGCACCAAGATGGGATGGTATGACATCAAATATCTGCTATGAGGCTTGAAAGCTTGCTGTCCCGGCAGCGGCATGGAAGTCATCGCCATGTCTGCGCAGGCGCCGGTAAGTGGAAAAATATACCATATATTTCATACATTTTATAAATTTTTGCAACGTTTCGGAAGCCACCCCGGCGCTGTGTCGTCGTCGTGCCGGTGGCATGCCGGTAAATGGAAAACCGCGCATTGGCTGGCCAATACGGACTGTTATTTAGTAATGTAAATTGTATCAAAGATAATGTTAACATTACTTTTATACGGTAGGTAAATGTAGGTAGCTGTGCACAGCATGCGTTACAATGCAAGATATTCTTTATACCACCCGCCTCCAGACGGAATTTCGTCCACGGAAACTCTCGACGGAATCTTGTATAGAAGGTATTGTCGCGCATGCATTAATGCTGGTGGCAAACAGTTTCAAAATTTAATTTGATGTACTTACCTAATAAATGTTTTATGTTCATATCATTAGTTTCATTTAAACAAATACCTATCTATCTCATTCGCACTTAAAAAATCTACTGACGACGATTATCTAGGTACCGAATCTGTACCCAAAACATGTTTTTGGGGCATACAATAACGTTTTCAAGGATAATAATTAATAATTGTTTGGTTGCTTGTTCAGAAAAAATATGAATATTTTTTTTGTGCTTAGGGTCAGTTTACACAGAGACGTGGCGATGCTGAAGAAGTAATAATGCTACTGATTTCGCGTCATAAAGTCGCTGGTCGCTCATTACGCAGAGAGACACCGCGCGGTGCAGTGAAAAGCGAGCTGAAAGTTTTCGGGCATTTGGATTAGAGCACAAGGACGGAGCCTTAATTAGACGTGACCTGTCCAACTTAACGTTTAGGTTCAGTGGGCCTCGGTGATCGCTGCTCGTTTTCACCCTCGCGATCACTGAGACATCACTGGACAGTTATCGTATGGTCGTCTTAATGAAGTCAATGTCTTTTTTTTGGCGATCCGTTGGGGCTCGACAAGGTCCACTTGATGCGGGGCCGCTTCTGGAAGAAAGAGACGAGAAGAAGAAGACTTCATCGTAAAGAGTCCCTCTTTCTTCATGAAGTCGGCCAGCTGCTGGCCCCTTCGGTTCCGTTGCGCTATTCCAAATTTCCCTACTTTCAGCTCACCGTTCTCTCTTGTGCCTGGTTTTGTATTGAAGTCTCCCATTAACACCGTATAGTGGGTTTTGGAGGAATGCATGGCACTAGAGACATCCTCATACATTTCCTCCACCTCCTTATCGGGGTGTGCCGAGGTTGGTGCGTAAACCTGTATGACCTTCAGCAAATACCGTTTGGTGATTCCGAGTATAAGATACGCAACCCTCGTCGACACACTTCCGATCTTTACAACGTTGTTAACGAGAGACTTGTGAACGATAAATCCGACACCTCTTTGGGACGGTCGCCCTCCCGGTGAGATGGTCGCCCTCCCGGTGATAAAACAAGTTGTCGGATTCGAGGATTACCGTGTCCTCCTCCTCTCTTCGGGTCTCAGATAATCCTATAATATCCCAGTGCAACTTATCCATCTCTTCTTCCAGCTCCATGATCTACGAAAAGATCATGGAGCTTTTCGTAGATCTTGGATATTCGTCAGTTCTTAGGATGCGTGCGTTATATTGTTGATAAGTCGAATCGTCTTAGGTGGCAACCGAACCTCCACCGGAGATTCTTAGCACCCCCTATCCTTTTAATTATTCAATATTCGGATGCAGATGTAGGAAAAATAAAACATTCGTATTTGTAGTATTATATTTTTATTTTACTAAAGTTCTACTTTACGTGTAAAATAAATACAATTCATGAGGTTTTACGGATTAGTGCGTTTCGTTGGATAGTTTTAATTGGGACAAAAATATAGGATATTTTGCGTCTATCGGTTCCAGTAACGGTAACAATCTTGATATATCGGGACGAATGGTAAATACCTAACATAATATTATATTCACTACATTTAATAGACGGAACTTCTCATTGTCAACGGAACCTAACACCTTAAGGATGTAAATAAAAAAGTACCTACGTTGGCGTTAGCAGCGCTGAATTGTCACTTGTCATCCAGTCCTTTCTTCAACATGGCAGCACCGTACAGCACCAAACAGGGCGTATGACCTTACTCTAACAATTGTTTTAAATTAATATGTAGTAATTTGTAATATATTTTGTGCTATTCTCCCTTATTCGCCAACAGGGGTTTATTATCTATGTTAACAAGTTTACAATACTGTTATTTGGGTACATTGATCAACCCAATGACAGCCTTGTAGTATTTAGGCTCGAAAAGAGCATCAATCATGAACGTACCGAGGTCCCACTTGGTGATGGTACCTTCGGGTGACTTCTGGGGATTAATCACGATAGTCATTTCACGACTGGGTTCCTCTGCAAACAAAATAATTTAAAATTAAAGATTTTGTAGTACTAACTTCAAAATAAATTATTAAGAATAACTTAAAAACCATTGGTCAGACCTTGATGAAATTTAAAATTTGGGACCACATGTGAAGCACCAGCTTTCAAATAAAAAAAGAATCATCGAAATCGGTTGACCCAGTAAAAAGTTATGAGGTAACACACATAAAAAACATACAGTTGAATTTAGTACTGTCTCCTTTTTGAAGTCGGTAGAAAAGTGCTAAAGATGGCTGTAATAGTTTTATAATACTCGTACACATTGTGCGAGCATACAGAGCTCTATCATGTAGCGAAGGTGAAACATGAGTGTACAGAAATGGCTAGGTGTAATTTAAAACTAAATAAATTATGTCCTTAAGTTTAAGTGAGTGTTACTAATATTTTACAGTAATTATAATTTAGTTTAAATCCACTGCTGAACATAGGCCTTCCCCATGGGATGCCACGAAGCACGGTCCCGAGACACCTGCATCCATCGACTACACTTCGCCTGCCGGTACGAGGCTGCCACTCGAGAACCTTTCTTCCCCATCGGTTTACAAATACTTCCCTTTTTGCTTTCTTTTCGACCGTTCGATGTAAAAAACGATTTTTTAAAAAGATAACTAACTAATATACCACGTCTACATTTGATTGTGAGATAAACAGTGACCCAGTTGTTTTATTTAGTTGCAACACAAAAGCTTTTGTGTTGAATCTGGTTGTGTTTCTGTGATATTTATAATAAGTAACTCACCTAAAATTTGAGGAGGGTTTACAGCGACCCAATTCAGGGGATTCTCTTTCAACGCTTCATACATCCTCCTATGGTCGTCGGTCACCGGACCGTAATGTTCAGGCACATCCTTGGGGTCGCAAAGCAGGAATGAGGATAAGCATACGGTTACAGTTTTAACACTCTTGGCCTTCATTGCATCTAGTATGTTTTTAAGACCTTCGGATAGATCGGTGGTCGGAGCCAAGGACTCGCGGGTGCCTAGGGTGACAACGACGCCGTCGGTGCCCTCCACCGCGTTGGCGACGGAATCGGGCTTAAGGACATCGCCTTTGAAAGCCTCCACCTTGTCCTTGAGGTGATCAGGGATCTTGGCTGGGTCGCGGACGAATGCACGCACTTGAAGACCTGTTGAAAATCAATTATTATAATAAATCTACAAAGACATGTTTTTTGCTTGGAAACGCTTATCAGCAAACCTACAGTCCGCCATAATGTATATTGTAGAAAACTATGTCTAGCCTCGTGCTGTCGCACTTGAGAACTAAGGTGGAATGCCTCGTTACCACTGAAAAGTGTCAAATAATCTGGTCACTAACCCTACGAAACACAGCAGCATGATGCTGCCAAATTACCCCTCCACTAATCTTGCTCATAATATTGGATGCACACAGTATTTTTTTCGGCGTGGCATTTGACGCATTTTAAGAAGATGAATACAGCACAAACCTCACGCTACTTCTATACAATCCAAGTGTTCTCAATGCAGTGTTCTTATTGTACTGATCCAACCGGCCGATGATGATAACCTTTCGTGCGCTTTAGAAATTAAAATGTCCGTATACGAAAGTTTTATTAAAGCCAGACATTCTATCCAATTCGTTAACACCATATTATGTCTTTGGTCTACACAGACACAAAGTATAAGTATGGAGAAAAATAATATTTATGTCGGAAATTTTATCCCAATAGTGGTTTAGATTTACCTTTTATGGTAAGGAATCATACGAAATTAAAAAGTAATATTGAAATATTATAAGCTAAGCGAAGCTATTGAAATATAATATATGAAATATAATATAAAATATATACCTTTCTTAAGGGCTGCTTCAATTGTGCAAAGGCCAGTCATGCCAGTAGAACCAAAAATTACAATCTTCTTCATTTTCTGAGGAACAAAGGAAAATCTTTTAAATAAATTTTTAAAAAGAGATATACAATTATTAGACTAGTTACATAGAGTAGTTAAAAAAGTTTCTTTTTTTAATTAATCCTCTTTTTAAATATATAAAACTAGTCGTCACCTTAACACCTCTGACTCAGAGTTTCAGACCAAAAAATAATATAAAGTGAAATTAACATAAAGTACCAAGTACCAACCTAAGGCGGCGCATTCACCTACAATATATGTAACTGTGTATTCGTGATTGCACAGTACTATTGAAAGTGAGAGGGTAGTACTGAAATAATACTACCCTTTCACAAAATTATTTTTATTTTTTAAACGCGTTTTGCACCAGCCAACATTTTTCTTAAAGAATAGATTGGCAATGAATTCATACCCACCATAATATGTACCTACGTTTTAATTTAACATTTACTGTTCGATTTTCTGACACAGTATTAAGACTATAGCAATGAACTATACGTAGTACAAGAAACAGCGAATGGGTTAAGGTGTTTACGATAATAGGATGTTAAGCAGTCTACAGTTTACGGTTTAATTGGGAATATAAGAACATGGATTACTACGAAATACACTATGCGTAAAAAGGCATTAGTGTACTCCTGGCGGGATGTACCTTCAGCGTCGTAACATAAACTTTATAGTACCGCGCCATTATTGCTATCATGCTATACTTTCTTTGAACAATTTTTATATTTTTCAAAATTTAATAGTTTCAATGCGTTCATCATCATCATCATTACAGCCTTTCACAAGTCCACTGCTGAACATAGGCCTCCCCCAAGGAATGCCACAAAGCACGGTCCTGAGCCACCTACATCCATCGACTTCCTACATGTCTTACCAGGTCCTCACTCCATCTCGTGGGGGGTCGCCCTACACTTAGCCTACCGGTTTCCCGAACGCTGCCCAGCCTAATTGAATCCGTCGATTGATCTCTCGGTCGAAGTTGGACTTACCTAGTCGGACTATTTGTTCCAGGTAAACATACTCGTCAACAACTTCGAGCTTTGTGCTCCTAACAACTACCGGCATAGGTTTGACATGGACATTAAACATGATCTTTGTTTTGTCCATGTTCATCTTGAGACCAATTCGTTGGAAGACACTATTGAGATCATTGAACATGGTGCTTAGGTCCTCCAGCGATTCTGCCATAAGGACTATATCGTCGGCAAATCGAAGGTGAGTGATGTACTCGCCATTGATGTTGATACCGTATCCTTTTCAGTCCAGAAGCTTGAAAACGTCTTCCAATGCAGCGGTGAAGAGTTTCGGGGATATAACATCACCCTTTCTTACACCTCTCTGCAATTGGATAGGTTTCGTACTCTGGTTCTGTACTCGGATAGCCATCGTAGCTCTACTGTACAAACACTTCAATACTTCGATATACCGACAGTCAACTTGGCACCGCTGAATGGACTGTAGCACCGCCCAAATTTCGACGGAATCAAAGGCTTTCTCATAATCCACATACTCCAGACATAGTGGCAAATTGTACTCTTCGGACTTCTGTACAATTTGCCCAAGGGTATGTATGTGGTCTATGGTGCTAAAGCCCTTTCGGAAACCGGCTTGTTCGGGAGGCTGGAAGTCGTCAAGTCTGCGCGCAAGACGATTCGTAATGACTCTCAAAAACAGCACGTAGACGCGGCTCAGAAGGGAAATCGGTCATTAGTTCTTCAAGAGAGTGTTGTCACCTTTCTTGAAGAACAAGACCACCGCACTTCTGCTCCACGCCTCCGGTGTAATGCCACCATGGAGGATGGAATTAAAGAGCTTCTGCTGACTTCAAGTACCGGTTTTCCACCTGCTTTTAGAAACTCCGCTGTAATTCCATCCTCTCCTGGGGCCTTGCCGTTTTTAAGGTGCTGGAGAGCCATTCTAATCTCGCTCAGACTGACGTCCGAGATATCTTCGGAATAGTGTCGGATAAGACTCGCTCTTGGATCGTTACTTACACTTGCGTGTGGCTCCAAAGATGACGTGTACAGCTGCGCATAGAACCTCTCAATCTCTCAGGTGTCTCGGAAACGATGCTGCCACACTCGGTCTTCAGCTTTGACAGTTGGCTCTTTCTGGCAGACAGATCTCTGGCAAAGACTTTGGAGCCTTGGTTCCGCTCGATCGCTTCTTCAATACAAGCTGTATTGAAGTTGCGTAAGTCCCGCCGCATGTATGCTGTCGTTCAGTTGCCTGTATGCTGTCAAATCTATTGAAGAATGCAGCTACATCTTCCGTCTAACAGCCATGAGATTGAGTGTGATCGCAGAGTTTTTGTGTTCTCCTGCGGCGGGTCTTGCAGAACTTAGCTCTGACCGCATGGACAGTTTCCACGAGTTTGTCATTCATATCGTCCACTCATTGCATTTTTCTAGGCACTGAAAACGGTTTTGTAACTCGAGCTGAAAGGTTTCGGAACAGAGACGAGAAGGACTTTGGAGTCGAGACCTCTCCAACTTAACACTTAGGTTCAGTGTACCTCTAACCATTCGGTGATCGCTACCAGTTTTCACCCTCGCGATCACGGAGACATCACTGAACAGTTGTCGTCTGGTCGTCATAATGAAGTCAATCTCACTTTTTGTGGAGCCGCCCGGGCTCGACTAGGTCCACTTCCTGCGGGGTCGCTTCTGGAGGAAAGAGTTCATCATAAAGAATCCCTCTTTCTACATGATGTCGGCCAGCTGCTGGCCCCTTGAGTTCCGTTGCCCTATTCCAAATTTCCCTAATTTCAGCTCACCGTCCTCTCTTATGCCTAGTTTTTCATTGAAATCTCCTATTAACACCGTATAGTGGGTTTTGGAGGAATGCATGGCTCTAGATATATCCTCATACATTTCCTCCACCTCCTCATCGGGATGTGCCTATGTTTGTGCGTAAACCTGTATGACCTTATATATAGGTTGGTGCGTAACCTGTATACCTACCGACGGCAAAGACAACGGTCAATCATAATCCAATCATCACTACCGAAAAAATTTAAATGATCGGAATAATCGGATCATAGAGAACATAATTTAAAATAGGATTACGATATTAGCCATTGTAGTTCAATTAAGCAGCTCTTTGGTCTGCATATCTACAATTTTTTTTGTATAACTATGAACAGAAATATATAAATTAAATATCGTTTTATTAACGGTGAAAGTGAATTTAAGCCTACTTTGGAGAAGGAGGAGGTGTTCATTTTGATTATATTTTTTTTGAAGCATGAGCTACACGTTTAGTGCTGATTTTTTCTGAGGTCATGGACTCGTACGTTTATACTTTTACAATTGTATTGTCTATGACAACAGTATTTTAAGTTCTTAAGGCGCCTAAGCGGACAAAAATCATGAGATTTATATCAACATCGGAGCCCTTGTTTCATCTATTCCACCATTAGTTTAGATGCGAAGATAGCTAGTACATAAAATCGCATCAATTTTACGTATTAAAACCCACTTCAAACTATTATTTTAAAGATAAAATAGCAGCTACAATCTGCCAGTGATTTTGATTTTGATTTTATTAATTCTTTTTGTTATTAGTTAGGTTATATTAAGTTAGGTTATAGGTTTATACTTTGGGATGATCTTTTTTTCAATTTTGGGGTAATAATTTAATAAGGTATTTAGTGAATCAATAAAATTATTAAATTCAGATCAAAAATATTCCGAGAAATTATAAATTTGGAGAAATAATATATTTCCCACCTTAATAGATTCCATCCCTAGTTACATACACTTAAAGTAAGTAGTAGTAGTAATTTTTATGTCATGATATATGTGCATGAATTGAAGGGCAATGAAATCTCATCAGAGAATAGTATATTTCTTGGCAATATAATGCTTTTAGTGCAAGTGCGTGTGCAGAGCAAGTGTATTTTAAAATAATTTGATCACTTTCTTCACGTCACTTGAAATTGAAATGTATGTTATGTTGGTCGGTCCATATCCACAGACCTATCCTACGTTTTTTGCTTGGTCTGAGGTCCTCGTCAACTCATACCAAAAAAGAAAGAAAGCAGTGAACTTTTACAGGTATTAAGAAAAGAAAGAAGAATGAGTCAAAAAGTTGAGCATGGATTCGTCATCAGTTGAAATGTACGCAACGCTCCATCTATCTTTCTTCGTTGGTCTGAAGTCGTCACTTGAACAGTTCTATCTTCTAACTCCTTATTCCAAATAAATGCTTTTCAAAAAAAGAACAAAATTATATCGGTCTTACCTGAAATTTACGATGACTTGATAAAAAGTTTTGAATTAGGAAGCTTTATAAAAATTAAAATTTTTCCTTAATTCATTCAATTTATAACACCACTTGCGTTACTTATTAAACGTTGATTAACGCAAGCTGCTAACAAAGCCATTAAATATGTACTATTATAATAAAATTCGACTCATAATTATATACGCAACATAAAGTTGGATAAAATGATTAAATGCTCTACTGATACGTACTAATCTGTGACTAATTGATAAAATAAATTGATAAATGATATAGAAGTGATAGGACTAGAGATGAGACGTATTTATTTGATTAAGTATTTTTCGATGCTAGTCTGCACCTCAATCGACAAAAATACTAAGTGGCATTGAGTATGGTAGAAAAAGGCTCGGATGCAATATTTTCAAACAATTTTTTCATCTTATATATTAAATAACACATTGAAATTTAGGTAAGTTACAGTAAGTATTACAATCTCGTAAAAGTTATAGGTAATTGTTGTGCATTGGGAAAGTAAAGTGTTCACCTTCATCCACCACTTTTTAAATATACGAACACCCATTTACTAATTAATTTTAATTTAAAAATTATATTTACCAGTTAAATCTTATATTTTGTCAGTATGTATGTATTATCTTAATCTCTTAAAATTTTATCAAAAACTTTTTAATTATAAGCAGCCAAGTATCGGTAACGTTACGATCTGCAAAACCTGAGAGACCTAATAAATACTATATATGTATTTGGTATTTTATATTATCTATGTATTTTTAAATATTATTTATTAGATTCTCAGAACAAAAAAAAATTAAAACCTGAGAGCTGCGTACATTCCAAGTAATGCAAAAACTACACAACAAATTATTGATTATAATAATCAGCCCTTATAAATTTCTGCTGAACGCACACATATGAATCTAAAACCATGTTTTGTTTCCAAATTTTTGCGTCACTTAGAAATATTCCGATCCGGAATTCAGAACGCTCGTTAGTATCATTCCTACAGATCGATCTGAGAAAATCATAATCTGTAAAAATCAGAATGTGTGTGGAGCATGGTTAAATTTTATGCAATTCCGGGCTTTCTTAACTAATAATATGAATTTAGAACAGACAGAATTCGGACAGGCATTCCGGATGTGTGAATCCGGTCTTACACGACGAGCCAGCTGTCTGGAACGAATGTAGCATGTTCATATGATTTTCATAAAATATTTCATGCCTAATTACAGCAACCACGGGACGAATTGTGTCGATGGATTTTCTTACGTCACTGACCTAAGGCAAAATTAATAATTAAATTGATGATTTTCTGTATTCTGTATTATATATTTATCATTAATATTCTTTAACTTTACAACACATTTTATTAACAAATTTTATGAATACTTTTTACTTGCGATAATAATTATTTTCTTATTACTCACTAAGCTACGTCTTAACCATATAAGCAGTTTAAAACCAATTACGTTAAATAATGTACACTCATAAAAGTTAATGACCTATACTGCATCTTAAGGCATGAACATTATTACAGCTTACAAAAATCCACTACTAAACTAGGCCTCCCCATAGATTGCCTCAAATATCTGCCTTACATGCCACACTTGGCAGGCGAGTTAGCAACGAAAGTTTTTTTTTTAATAATTTGATTTGTTATCAGGAAGATTCTGCTGCCTATTCCTATTTCACTTCCCTCTATCGCCTCTTACGACCACCACGGGATAATATGGGGTAGTGGATCCTGTTATACCGGCACTGCTTGTTATACATTATATGAAAATGAAAATTATTTAACAATGACTTATAGTCACTAACATTGATCTATATTCTTAATACTATAATCGCAATATATAGACATTTTCTATTTTTATAAAGTTTAATTACACTTCCTAAATAATATTTCGATCTGACTAAAAGTATTGTAAGTATCGATATGTTATCAGATTATTACAGTTACAGCTACAGCCCTATCAGTAAAGCAGTGAGAAAAAATATGCTTAGTCAGCGTTACGATTGCTTTTGCCATCACATTAAGTACACTTCCTAAATAATATTTTAATCCGACTGAAAGCAGTGTAGGTATCGATATGTTATCAGATTATTACAGTTACAACTACAGGCCTATCAGTAAAGCAGTGAGAAAAAATATGCTTAATCAGCGTTACGATTGCTTTTGCCTTACTGTGAAGTAATAATAAAAAACTATTGATAAATCCAATTGAGCATGCCTTCGCATTTAAAAATTACGTATAGCATGATTATACGGAATTTTATTAAAGTAGTTTAAATACACACAAGTTTTCACTAATAACCTTATTATACTTCCAATTTTCCGATAATTTTATGTTAAACTTCAATTTGAAAAAGTTTGGAAAATCCAAAGTACACGACTCATAATGCTCATATGATCATCATATCATCATTCATGTCACTTCAAAAAGTCCAAGACGTATTCAAGTATAAATATTATTTTCGAATATTTTGTATTTATTTGCACAACGATCTTTTTGAGCCGATGCAAACAACCGATACAGTATCCACTCACAATGGCGGTTGACGCCGAAATAAACTAAGCGAGTGAGGCACGGGCAGTCTCTTTTTACTGAAATAAATTCTAACACAAGGCTGCGAAAACACCGAAAAATTCGAAATTTAGCAGCCGCAAAAAATTAAAAGGTTAGAGGCACACTGAACCTAAACGTTAAGTTGGAGAGGTCTCGTCTAATAAAGTCAACGCTCCGTCCCCCTCGTGCTCTGTACCAAAGTCCCGAAACCTTTCATCTCGAGTTACAAAACCGTTTTCAGTGCCTAGAAGACTGCAATGAAGTGGACGATATGAATGACAAGCTCGTGGACACTGTCCATGCGGTCGGAGCTAAGTTCTGCAAGACCCGCCGCAGAAGAACACAAAAACTCTCCGATCACACTCTCAATCTCATGGCTGTTAGACGGGAGATAAAGCTACATTCTTCAACAGATTTGACAGCATACAGGCAACTGAACAGACAGATCTCCAAATGCATGCGGAGGGACTTACGCAACTTCAATACAGCTTGTATTGAAGAAGCGATCGAGCGGAATCAAGGCTCCAAAGTCTTTGCCAGAGATCTGTCTGCCAGAAAGAGCCTACTGTCAAGGCTGAAGACCGAGCAGCATCGTTTCCGGGGCACCTGACATTTTGAGTGAGATTGAGAGGTTCTATGGGCAGCTGTACACTTCATCGTTGGAGCCACACGCAAGTGTGAATAACGATCCAAGAGCGAGTCTTATCCGACACTATTCCGAAGATATCCCCGACGTCAGTCTGAGCGAGATTAGAATGGCTCTCCAGCACCTTAAAAACGGCAAGGCCCCAGGCGAGGATGGAATTACAGCGGAGCTTCTGAAAGCGGGTGGAAGACCGGTACTTGAAGTCCTTCAGAAACTCTTTAATTCCGTCCTCCATGGTGGCATTACATCGGAGGCGTGGAGCAGAAGTGCGGTGGTCTTGTTCTTCAGAAAGGTGACAACACGTGGTAGAGCTATACTGCAGCTATATTAATATTATAGTTGTAGCACGAATGGGTCGGCTCGACCGGGGAAGGACCAATCTCTCACAGAATACCAGCGTAAAATAGCAGCTTAATGCTGCTGTGTTTCGTATGGTGAGTGTAGAGGACCGGAGACCCATTTTACTGGAAAAGAGGCAGTCCATCTTAGTCGTCACAGGTGACAACGCATCTGCATCTTCAGTCTTTATTGAGGATAGATGTAGATGTCTATGGGCCACAGAAACCACTTACCATCAGGTGGATTGTGTGCTCGTTTGTCACCCGTATTTTATAAAAAAAACTCTCTCTTGAAGAACTACAGACCGATTTCCTTTCTGAGCCGCGTCTACGTGCTGTTTTCGAGAGTCATTACGATTCGTCTCGCGTGCAGACTTGACGACTTCCAGCCTCCCGAACAAGCCGGTTTCCGAAAGGGCTTTAGCACCATAGACCACATACATACCCTTCGGCAAATTGTACAGAAGTCCGAAGAGTACAATTTGCCACTATGTCTGGCGTATTTGGACTATGAGAAAACCTTTGATTCCGTCGAAATTTGGGGGGTGCTGCAGTCCCTTCAGCGGTGCCACGTTGATTGTAAATATTTCGAAGTGCTGAAGTGTTTGTACAGTAGAGCTACTATGGCTATACGAGTACAGAATCAGAGTACGAAACCTATCCAATTGCAGAGAGGTGTAAGACAGGGTGATGTTAAATCCCCGAAACTCTTCACCGCTGCATTGGAAGACGTTTTCAAGCTTCTGGACTGGAAAGGATACGGTATCAACATCAATGGCGAGTACATCACTCACCTTCGATTTGCCGACGATATAGTCCTTATGGCAGAATCGCTGGAGGACCTAAGCACTATGCTCAATGACCTCGATATTGTTTCCCAACGGATAGGTCTTAAGATGAACATGGACAAAACAAAGATCATGTTTAATGTCCATGTCACACCTATGCCGGTAGTTATTGGGAGCACTAAGCTCGAAGTTGTTGACGAGTATGTTTACCTGGGACAAATAGTCCGACTAGGTAAGTCCAACTTCGACCGAGAGGTCAATCTATGGATTCAACTCGGCTGGGCAGCGTTCGGGAAACTACGACACATCTTCTCGTCAGACATACCTCAAAACCTTAAAACGAAATTGTACAACCAGTGCGTGTTACCAGTGATGTCTTACGGATCTGAGACGTAGGCCTACACTGCTGGCCGTATGAGGAAGCTCAAGGTCGCTCAGCGAGCTAAGGAGAGGGCTATGATTGGGGTTTCTCTACGTGATAAACTTTGAAATGAGTATAACCGCAGTAGAACCAGAGTTACCTACATAGCCCAACGGATTAGTAAGCTGAAGTGGCAGGGGGCCGGCCATATAGCGCGAAGAACCGACAACCGATGGGGAAAAAAGGTTCTTGAGTGGCAACCTCGTACCGGTAGGCGAAGTGTAGGGTGACCCCCGACGAGATGGAGTGACGATCTGGTAAGACATGCAGGAAGTCGATGGATGCAGGTGGCTCAGGACCGTGCTTTGTGGCATTCCTTGGGGGAGGCCTATGTTCAGCAGTAGACTTATGAAAGGCTGTAATGATGATATGAACACTTGGATTGCAAATAAATGATTTGATTTGATTTAATTTGATTTGCAACTGATAGTTCCTCAGTTTTATTTATAGCGCCGGTAATGTTCTGGTGTAATATTCGAAAATTGAATTCCGAGTTAGGGACGCAAACATATATTCGCTTGTAAAGGCAACTGTGTGTCAGGTTGTCTTTTAAACACGGTATTGATTTTTTAAAATAATAAGGTATGGTTCCTTTCTTGTGAGTTTCAGTATTCACAATTTCCATTTTGTTCAAAAAGGCAGTAGTAGAGTTTACCTTTTTTATAGGATAGGGTGACAAACGAGTACACAGTCTACCTCATGGTAAGTGGTTGCTGTGGCCCATAGACATCAAAATGCAGATGCGTTATCACCCGTGAGGACTAAGATGGAATGCCTATTTTCCAGTAAAGGGTCTCTGGTTCTCTACACTCATCCAACGAAACACAGCAGGTTAAGCTGCTATTTTACGCTGATATTCTGTGAGGACGTGGTCCTTCCTCGGTCGAGCCGAGCCAAGCGTGCTACAACTATACTACTAATATAGCTGCAGCATTGCTCTACCACAAGTAAATACCTCCCGACCTTTATCACCTGATATTAAATTTTTTCAAGACTTAAAGTAGACAGAAATAGTTTCCTTCTTAGGAATAGTTGTGCATTCTTTTTTAGCCTATGGTATTAACTATAACATATTTTTACAACATAAAAGATTATTTTCATAATAATTTGAGTCAATCTTAAGGTTAATATTTTTACATACATCTAATAAGTAGTAGTATTTATTGTACGGATAGTTATATTATACATTAATAAATGAGCAATTTTTGAAGTTGTCACATATAATTTTAAATTTTTATTTAACATACTTTCATATATGTGTTCTGTAAAACATTAAATACCAATATTCTAGTTTTTTTTTAAATATTTTAGCATTGTTACTAATTATATTATTATTTTGTTAGGGTTAGTATCATTTTCTCCTATGCATATAGTTAGATAATTATCTTCGCCATCCTACAATTTATAAATAGGTTAAAGGATTTCCTCTGTAGTCGCATTGGGTTTTCTAGTTGAAAAGATCTGGTAATTTTTGTACTGGGTGTTATTTCTGGATTGTATTAATAGTGTGGCTATTTCTGTAAATTAATGTCCTCCAAATATAATCAATTGGAATTTTGTATTGTTTTCAATGGGTTTAGAAAGTTGCTGATAACTGTTTATTTTATTTTCTTCGTGCAGATTTAATTTAGCGCTATCTGTTGTGTGTTGATCGCACTTTTTAAAGTTAAGTTTGTACACTTATGAAGACCCGTTCTTGATCATGTTGCGTGTAGCAACTTCAGTTGTGTTTCTTTCACAAGATTTTGTCTCAAGATCAATGAAAGACATATCCAGTTTCTTTTTGTGAACAATATTTAGATTTTTTACCTTACAATTCGTTTTTTTTACAATTTAATATTTTTTGTACTACTTGGTGTTTTGCTATATTTTTTTTAATTTTGTAATGGTATTTTGTTATACAGTTGTTTGTTTTTTCAAAGTGTTGTTTTCCATGATCAAGTTATCTATTTCGTTGTTAGCGGTATTCAGTTACATTCTCAACTGTTCAGTTTCTTATTAACTTATAATGCTCTATCGAAATTAGTACATTGGTTTAATGCCAAAAATATGCTCTTAAACGGCAATAAGACAAAGTGTATTCAATTTACAATACCTAATGTAAAACATTCGAATACCAATGTGCTGTTAAATGGGGAGGAGTTGAGTCTTGTGGATACCACTGTTTTTCTCGGTATTACTATTGACGCGAAACTTCAATGGGGCCCCCATATATCTAAATTAGCAAGCAGACTTAGTTCTGCAGCCTATGCTGTAAGAAAGATTAGAAGTCTCACAGATGTTGAGACAGCTATATTAGTGTATTTTAGTTACTTTCATAGCGTAATGTCTTATGGAATTTTGCTATGGGATAATGCGACTGATATTGAAGCTATATTTGTTTTGCAAAGGAGAGCCGTTCAGGCGATTTATAATCTAAATCGTAAAGAGTCCTCAGACAAAAATTAATGAAATAAACATATTAACTTTGGCATCGCAATATATTTATGAAAATGTAATGTATGTACATAAAAACATAAATAGCTTTAATAAGAATAAGGATGTGCATACTTTAAACACTAGGAATAAACATAAGCTTGTAATACCAGTTGCTAGACTCCACAGAATCAGTAATTCATTTATGGATCAATGTATACGCTTTTACAATAAAATTCCAGAACATATTCAAAGTTTGTCAATAAACAAGTTTAAAAGTTTTATTAAAGAAAAACTGTACAAAAAGGGTTATTATAATATAGTATACATGAATGAAAATAACCCCTGGGAATAAGGTGACCGCCACCATGCTGGTTCTATGAAAATTCATTTAAAAATTGTATAAACGAAATTATTGTTAAGTGAAATATGTTTGAAAAAAAAAAGTCCCGCTGGGTTTCTTGCTGGTTCTTCCCAAGACAAGAGGTATTTTCCGAACCAGTGGTAAATAAAAAATGACTTTCAATAAGAATTATGTAATAATCAATATTGAATAAAAAATTATTCTATTCTATTCTTCGTTCAATCTTTCAAACTTTTCATAACTTAAGCTGACTGACAATTGTGGTTTTAACTTTTTGAAATATACTCAGAATTCGTTTACTCGAATGAAAATTTGAAAAGCAAGTTGAATGCAGTGGAGATGCGATCTCTTCGTAAAATGTGCGGCGTTACCATGGCCGACCGAAAGCGAAACGAAGAGATTCGCAATATGGCAGGTTTGAAAGATGACCTTATCACAAAAATTGATAAGGGCGTGCTTCGGTGGTTTGGGCACGTTGAGCAAATGAGTGAAGACCGAATGGTGAAGAAAATATATAGCGCGAAAGTTAATATTAAAAGGTGTCGAGGTAGACCGAGACTAACTTTCGAAGACCATGTGAGCAAATTGCTCGAAGAGGGTAGGGTCAAAAGTACTCGGATACCTAGACGTGCATGCATGAAGAAGATAATGAATCTGAAAGAAGCGAAAGAGGTTTGTAAGGATCGTGACACTTGGCGATCTGTTCTCTCTGGCTACCCCGTCAGGGATTGTGCGTGAAGATAAGTAAGTAAGTAAAAATTTGACGAGAAAATTATTGTTTTATTTTTTCTTACAGTAATATTTTCAAAATCCATGTCTGTTTTTTTGCTTGTGGTCAACAAGCAAAAAACAGTTCTATATCGTAAAAAAGTTCTTAAAAAATACAAAAAGTTAAATTTTGAAGGGATTTGAACTCGCGATTATCAGTTACAAAATTTGAAGCATTACATCAAACTTTAGTGGCTACTTGTAAAATTTACCACAATCGAATTTAAGGATGTTGTTCAGCTTGTTTGAAAAACAAATTCGTTACGATGACTCATAGATAATATATTTTTGCACTAACTTTCACAACACTAATGTTTAGCACTGGTTTAGTTGTTTTTACAGATTTTCTTATGATAACTACACTGACTCTATTTCATTTTTCTATTTTAATATTTTGTTGACTGTAATTAACGTAGTCTACAGTCAGTAGTCTACGTTAATACTACGTGGATGTTATTGAAATGTTATTGAGAGTTTTGTGTAATTATTGTAAGATTTAACACTGGATAACATTCTCACTTATACTTTATAGATTCAGCAACAATATTTGTAGCTTTATAGTCTTAAAACAGCGATATTTATTTTTAGAGATATTTTTTAATACGATCCGAAGTCACCATGACAGCTAGCGCCTCTACTGAAATGAATGTAGTCAACGCTAAGTCACGTAATTGTTATGTGATCTAACGTTCAGATATGTCAATCCTATTAAGGACGCTTTTACAAAATTGATAGTTATAGAATCGAACTTTTACATTGACACTGGTCACACACACAAGTGTACGCACGTTAGCTGCGGGAATCGCAGTATAAACATTTTGATAATTATTTGAAAGATTGTTTTTTTTTTCATATTTCTTATTACCTACAAAAATATACTTAGATACGAAATATAAATGGCTGCTCCAGAGACAGCTAGGTACTAGAAGCCAACTACAGGGAGTGAGATGTTGGCTGTGGACTTTGAGCTGGTTTTGTTAGTTATGATAACTTCAGCTCCGAACTTGGTGAAGTGACTTGAAGGTATACTTGGGTGACTGCTACTGGAAGTCCGGGACGAGTAGTACCATGTGTGCCGAGTTTGGGTTCATTATGTTAGTTATGATGAGACCTTACCTCCGGACTTGACAGAATGACCTGATGGTGTACGTTGGTGACTACTACTGCAACTCCTGGACGAGTAGAACTAGGTGTGTCGAGCTTGGGCTCGTTTTGTTAGTTATGACGAGATCTTACCTCCGGAATTGATGAGAGACCTGATGGTGTACTTCAGTGACTACTACTGGAACTCCTGGGCGAGTAGAACTAGGTGTGCCGAGTTAGGGCTCATTATGTTAGTTATGACGAGACCTTACCTCCGCACTTGATGGAATGACCTGAAGGTGTACTTCGGTAACTGCTAGTGGAACTCCTGGGCGAGTAGAACTAGGTATGCCAAGTTTGGGCTCGTTTTGTTAGTTACGATGAGGCCTTCCCTCCGGACTTGACAGAATGACCTGATGGTGTACGTTGGTGACTACTACTGCAACTCCTGGACGAGTAGAAGTAGGTGTGCAGAGTTAGGGCTCATTATGTTAGTTATGACGAAACCTTACCTCCGGACTTAATGGAGAGACCTGATGGTGTAATTTAGTGACTACTACTGGAACTCCTAGACGAGTAGAACTAGGTATGCCAAGTTTGGGCTCGTTTTGTTAGTTACGACGTGACCTTACCTCCGGACTTGATAGAATGACCTGATGGTGTACGTTGGCGACTACTACTGCAACTCCTGGATGAGTAGAACTAGGTGTGTCGAGTTTGTTAGTTATGATGCGCAGTTGCCCTTGAATTTGGTAATACCATTTCTATTTTCTCCGACGTGCCCAAAACTCAGGTGCCCAGGTGAGGATGGAATTACAGCGGAGCTTCTGAAAGCGGGTGGAAAACCGATACTTGAAGTCCTTCAGAGGCTCTTTAATTCCGTCCTCCATGGTGGCATTACACCGGAAGCGTGGAGCAGAAGTGCGGTGGTCTTATTCTTCAAGAAAAGTGACAACGCTCTCTTGAAGAACTACAGACCGATTTCACTTCTGAGCCGCGTCTACGTGCTGTTTTCGAGAGTCATTACGAATCGTCTTGCGTGCAGACTTGACGACTTCCAGCCTCCCGAACAAGCCGGTTTCCGAAAGGGCTTTAGCACCATAGACCACATACATACCCTTCGGCAAATTGTACAGAAGTCCGAAGAGTACAATTTGCCACTATGTCTGGCGTATGTGGACTATGAGAAAGCCTTTGATTCCGTCGAAATTTGGGCGGTGCTGCAGTCCCTTCAGCGGTGCCAAGTTGACTGTCGGTATATCGAAGTGTTGAAGTGCTTGTACAGTAGGGCTACGATGACTATCCGAGTACAAAACCAGAGTACGAAACCTATCCAATTGCAGAGAGGTGTAAGACAGGGTGACGTCATATCCCCGAAACTCTTCACCGCTGCATTGGAAGATGTTTTCAAGCTTCTGGACTGGAAAGGCTACGGTATCAACATCAATGGCGAGTACATCACTCACCTTCGATTTGCCGACGATATAGTCCTTATGGCAGAATCGCTGGAGGACCTAAGCACTATGCTCAATGCGTGTGTACATGTGAACCGTAGAAGGAAATAAACTACTTTTTGTCTGTATGTGTATCTTTGAATTTTCATTTACTAATCATCCAACAACAGGCGCCCTGGGATACTTTTATTTTGATCCTCGAGTCTCTTGACTCTCCGATAACCGTAGCCGGTGAGTAACGCCCTAAAAAGTGTTATAACCTCAATAGTGTTTCCCAACGGATAGGTCTTAAGATGAACATGGACAAAACTAAGATCATGTTTAATGTCCATGTCACACCTATGCTGGTAGTTGTTGGGAACACTGAGCTCGAAGTTGTTGACGAGTATGTTTACTTGGGACAAATAGTCCGACTAGGTAAGTCCAACTTCGACCGAGAGGTCAATCGACGGATTCAACTCGGCTGGGCAGCGTTCGGGAAGCTACGACACATCTTCTCGTCAGACATACCTCAAAACCTTAAAACGAAATTGTACAACCTGTGCGTGTTGCCAGTGATGACATACGGAACTGAGACGTGGTCCTTCACTGCTGGCCGGATGAGGAAGCTCAAGGTCGCTCAGCGAGCTATGGAGAGGGCTATGCTCGGAGTTTCTCTGCGTGATAAACTTAGGAATGAGGATATCCGCAGCAGAACCAGAGTAACCGACATAGCCCAACGGATTAGTAAGCTGTAGTGGCAATGGGCCGGCCATATAGCTCGAAGAACCGACAACCGATGGGGAAGAAAGGTTCTCGAGTGGCAGCCTCGTACCGGTAGGCGAAGTGTAGTGCGTCCCCCCACGAGATGGAGTGACGACCTGGTAAGAAATGCAGGAAGTCGATGGATGCAGGTGGCTCAGGACCGTGCTTTGTGACATTCTTTGGGGGAGGCCTATGTTCAGCAGTGGACTTGTGAAGGGCTGTAATGATGATGATGATGAGGATTCATCCGTATCAGCAAAATATGTCAAAAAATAAGCATCAGTTTTTATTTTTTTTACGACCATTTGTGACATTTTGATAAAAAGTAATCACCAGCATTTTTTATTGAATATGTCTGCCTACTTACAGTATTTTTAGATATCTTAATATATGTTGATAATAGAACAAAAAATGTACCGAAATATGAGCCGGTATCGTTAATTTTGTAGTAAATGGCTAGGGAAGATCCTTTTTACAATGTAAAAAACTATTATTTTCAACAAAAAAGTTACCACTATTTTAAGATAAAGAACCATTCTATACGTTGTAGTTATTAGTTATATTTGATTCGGTTTAGTTTTATAATAATAATAATAATAATAAGCATTTATTCATTACCACCAATAAAGTACATACAGAAATAACAAGAATTACATAATGTAGTAATGAATGGGCTCTAGCTCAGCATAAATGTTGCAGTTGCCTACAACGCTGTTATTCTGCCAGCGCCCAACATATGAACAGTACAGTACGCGCGCATCCCTTTAATCACAACTATTCACATTAGGGTACATACCGTGGATCCCCGACTATTAGCCAGTTCAAATTAATAATCAAATATATATATTTTTATTACCATTTTTTTTAATAAATATTTATTACAACAATATAACTAGTAATAAGTAACATAAATTATAAAATAATATTGATATTAACAAGCCTAACTTCTTTAATCTCATATAAGTTGTTTCCCCACCTACTACATAGCAATGTTTATTATTTGTTTTAAGTATTTACAGGGCGGTCCTGCAATTAGGTAAAAATAAGCTGCTTATGACAGTATTTGTTCTCTTAGTAAATGACGTCTATATTTCTTTTTAAAACTCGATTTACTTGTCGTAGTGCATAGTGGTGGTGGGAGATCATTCCAACACTTAGTTGCCATAAACTTAAAACTCCCTCGGAAAGCCGATGTTTTGTGTTTAGGGATGCAAAAAACTTTTGAGCATATTCGGGTTTTATATACATGTTGGTCATTTCTCCAATTAAGTTTTTTGTATAAATATTTTGGATTCTTTGTATTTATTATGCCGAATAGCAAAGAAGCATAAAAAAGTTTGAGACGCTCCTGCATTTTTAACATATTCGAGGTATTAAGATATGATGTAACATGAGTTCGTCTCGGTATGTAAAAACAATAGCGAGCACAAGCATTCTGTACCCTCTGGATTAATTTTTGTGATTTTTTAAGCAAACAAGGTCCATAAACAGTTATACAATAATTTAATTTAGCTAAAACTAGGGTTTCACAAAGCTTTACACGTAAATTAACTGTGATAAATGGTCTAAATCTATATAGAACTTTTAACCTGTAAAAGCAGTTTTGTACCAAATTAATCACATGATTTTCAAACCTCAAATTGCTATCAAAAAGAATGCCTAAATTTCGTGCTTCATGAACTTGTGCAATTGTCTCTCCATTAACACGTATATCAGGTTCAGTTATAGCTATATCATGTACCTGCTTTTTAGTGCCAATTATAAGGAATTTTGACTTTGAAGGATTGAGAACCATGGAGTTATTTTGTGACCAATCGCAAACACGTTGAATATCCTGATTTAACTTATTTACTAATGTGTTAATATTTTTTCGATCTATGGGAATATATACCTGTAAATCATCAGCGTATAGATGGTATTTACAGTTTTTGAGACAGTTTATTATATCAGCACTGTAAATAATAAAAAGCAAAGGCCCTAACACAGATCCTTGAGGAACGCCTCTATCAACAGGAAGAAGCTTAGAAATAAAGTTTTTACCATTATGCCTGTCTAAAATTACTTGTTGATATCGGTCAGTTAAATAACTTTTAAACCACTTGAGTGTTTCATTATCAAAACCATAATATGAAAGCTTAGAAATCAGTAAGTTTGTGTTAATTGAGTCAAAGGCCCTTGAAAAATCTAATAAAGTGAGAATAGTACCTTCTCCAGAATCCGAAAAAGATAATATATCATCCACGACATTAATAAGAGCTGTTGCTGTTCCGTAATTTTTTCTAAAACCTGATTGTAGGTTGGGTATTAATTGATTTTTTTCACAGAAATTTATTAATTGTGAGTAAACAACTTTCTCAAGTATTTTTGATAAGTAAGGCAGTATACTAATGGGTCTTAGGTCACCTACATTTGTTGGGTTACTTTTTTTAGGTATTGGACGAATAAGTGCAGTTTTCCAAGAAGAAGGAAAAACAGATTCTGTTATGGATTTATTAATAATTGCAGTGATAACATTTAAAGTTCTCGGAAGCGTTAGAATTATCATATCCATATTAATGCGTTCAACACCTTGAGCATTTGACTTAATACCCATTATGATTTTTGCAACCACATTTTCATGAACTGGTATTAACCTAAAAGTATTAGAGATACAGTTTCTGCTTTCCAGATTCCTTACATTAAATGATTTGACGATATTATTTGTTCCCGGTATACTCAAAAAGTGACGATTAATTTCGTCAGGATCACTAAAGTGTTCTGGTAAGTCATTCGAATTTTTAAATGACGGTAACGCGAATGACTTCAAATTTTTCCATAGAACATTTGTATTATGTAGATGTTGATTAATGTGGTAATCAAAATATGCCTTCTTCTCAGCATAAAGACTGCTGTTTACTAGACTTTTTAGGGTTTTGTATTGAATTTTATCTTTTTCAGTTTTTGTGCGACGATATTTATTGTGAGCGTCATCTCGGAGCTGCATAATGTACTTAACATTACTCGTAAACCATGGCAGTTGTTTCTTACGGATAGTTATTAGTTTCTCTGGAGCATGTTTATCAAACAGCTCTAAAATGCGTTTGGAAAAAACAGAAACCATATCGTTCACATAATTATACCTCGTAATGCTATCCCAGTTTATGGATTCAACTTCCGACTCAAAATCTGACAGATTGATATTTTTTATTGGTCTTATAATTTGCTGCCTTATAGCTACCTTAGGCTTTTTAATTTTAAAATCGACTAAAATGATAGCATGACCACCAAGTTCAGGAGTATATTTTACACGAGTATTTGTCACACTAGCGTCCGTCATTACTAAATCAATTAATGTAGCACTCTCTTGCGTAAAATGGGTAGGTTGAAAAATACAGTTTTTCAACCTAGTATACTGCAAAAATTGATTAAGCTGTTGTGTTTTGTTGTCACTTTCATCCAAAATATTTATATTGAAATCTCCTAACAAAATTATATTATCAAAATTTGAATATGAAGTTAAAATGTCTGTAAGAGAATCAAAGAACTTTTCGACATTTACCCATTGTGGTCGATATGCCGTTCCAATTAAAAGCTTAACTTTGTTAATGGATAGCGACAGCCACTGCTGCTCCACCTCCTCAAATATAATGTTATGGGAATAAGAACGAGCATTAATCCCTCGTTTGACGTAAAAACCAACACCACCACCACGTGCCCTAGATAGGTTACAAGAACGGGGAATATGACTGAAGCGATAGCCAGGAACTAACAGAGCACTCGCATCTTCACCAGCTCGTAGCCACGTTTCGTTTATCGCCATAATATCAGCAGATTCACATAGCAGAGCTGCCTGAAACTCATCGCTTTTGCTTCTGATCGACCCAGCATTATAAAGGCCAACTCTTAAACTTTTACTTTTAGTAGTAGCCATGTTGTAATAATATTTTTGTAAGTATAATCATTTCATATATATAATCGTCTATATGTTGAACACAAATAAGTAAGGAATATTTATAGGAACATATTATATTATAACTTGAACAGGCTAGCATCGGTATGCACATTAAAAATAAAGTCATTTTCAAAATATCAACAAAAAAAGCAAAGAAATTTACAAAATATTCGTACAAAAATAGTAATAAAAAAAGGTAAAAATAATTATTTAAAAAATATTCAAAATAATAACAACAAATTTTTATACTTGTACCAACTAACAAAACAAAGTAAGTAGAACTAATTAAGTAAGCTAAAATTACGGTAAACAATTCCATAGAATTTACCAAAATCATAAAAATGTTTACACAATAATATAGATACTGCAGGACAGAACCTTTGTTAGCACTTAAAGTTAATTTATGTACCACTACAAATACACTACCGCTACTGTAAACTACTGCAAAATAAAGATATAATAAAAGGTGGTATAAAACATAGTAATTAAAAAGTATGGAATAACATTTAAGGTATATGAAAGTGTAAGGTATAATCAAAAGTATAATATTATCAAACAAAATGAACAAAATTAAAATAGTAAGGAGCCCCAAAATACATTTAACATTATTTAGAAGTTTTTGAACAGGGTACACCAAAAACACGTTCAATATCCATTTCAGAGTTTACTATGCGCGCATAAATATTAGGAGAGTCTTCACGCTTAACATAAACACGACCCCCCTTTGTCCATACAAATTTCCAATTTAAATTTCGAGCCATTTCACGTGTTTTAGCAAATAAAATACGGTTTGTTTTGGTTAATCGTTCATTAACATAAAACGTAGTTGATTCGTGAGGTAACAATCCTAGGTCTACCGTAGTAAGCGTACGGCGCACTCGAGCATTCTTTATTAAGTGGTCGCGTAACGCACGACGCGTTAATCTTACAACCAAGGGGCGCGCACTAACAGAAACTGATGAGCTGTTTTGGTTACCTGTTCGCATATCTTTAGCCGGCCAATTTAAACGGCGACCGACGCGTTCAGCGTAAACTATATCTTGTTCCGTTAGAGATACTCCTAGTTTAGAGGCAACGGTCAACACTATATGCATTGGTGTTTCACCTGAAAATTCTGGTATTCCGACTATTTCGACATCATTTAGCAGGGCTTCCTGGTCTTTGTAGGTTATTTGCTGCTGTAACTCTGCAACAATACTCTCCAAGTGTGTATTTGATTGAGCAGTTTGACGAGACGATTCAATTTCTTTGCGAATACATATGTTTTCATTCTCGAGTGCCTGGACTTTTTCACTAAGGGTACTGACCTCTTGCTTTAAGCTACATACTTCTTGTGTTATGGATTCAGTAATTTGTTTGAAATCACTTTCTAAATTCTTTAAAACGTCACGAAACTCTTGCTTGATTTCTGTGGCTAGACAAACATGTGCACTTTTGAGTTTCGAATCTAGTTTATGATCCAGCAATTTACCAATTTCTTCTAGGGAAAATGAAAAAGTATTCACCTTTGGCACTCCAGGAAGCTCCATGTTCGGGGACAACTGTTCGTTACTATCCTCTGTCTGCGAAATACTATCACCACCGGACGTGTCGACTAAATCTGGGGGAGAGGATTCTTCAGAATTTATTTTTAATGGTGTGTCATCATTTCTGTGTCGTCTTTTAGTGACATTTGTACAAGTAGGGCACTTCCATGTTCTCTTGAGTTGTTGGAAATTGCCCATAAATTTTGCCGTTGTAATATTCAAACATCTGTAATGATAAGTTCCTTTACACGTGACACATCCTAATAATTCTCCCCGCTCAATAGAATTCGGACATGCTAAGCATTTCATATTTAGATCTTATCAAGAGATCTCAACAAATAAACAAACTAACTTTATGCAAGTCACACAAGTGGGTATAAAGTAAAAGCATACGTTTCATTCACAACGCGCCCGTGGTTTTGGTATCAAAGTCCACTGTTTTGCAAAATAAATTTCTTGTCTCACTTTGTAATGTTTGTCTTTAAAAATCACTTTATTTCAATATAATGTCCACAGTTTCACTTTTACAATTTCACATGCATAAAATTTAAGTTTAAATATAAACTTTAACAACAATAATTATTTTTTAAACCGGAGCTAACGTTATATGATGTTAACACAGCGATGCGCGCGCGCTGTACTTCGGTACGTTTTGTCACAAAATGTACCGAAAAACAGCATAATTTGGCCCCATTTGCAAACGCACCCTTAATTTCGTATAGTTATCTTGGCTAGCCCTAGAACTAGAACTAGTTGTATCTTTTACGTTAACATTTTCACATCGTTTCAACCAAATTTTAAATTTTTTAACTAGAATTACATTTTGCCTTTATTAAATAAAATTTTAAAGAATTCCGAATTTTTTTCTTAATAGTTTTCTCCGATTGGAAGCAATAGAAATGGCAGAAAAAGTTTTAATTTTTTTTAGAATTTATAATTACTTTTCTATCTATTTTATACTTTATACTTATACTATAATATACTTTTGATATCGTTAAAATTTATATAAATTTTAATGATATCAAAAGCAGCAATGGGCATACAAACAATACAATCGAGGATATTTATTTATTTACATCTACATATGTAAAAAATACAAACCATCTTTTTCTGCGACTTCTTACATAGGAATATGAATCCTAAAATACACAATTTTCTAAAACTTCAAAAAAAAATTATTAAATAAAACAATCTACGTCCTGAATAAAAAAAAACATTTTGAGTAGTGAATTGTATAGGTATATAATGTATCTACAAGCGGGTACACGGCTAGTAGAAATAAATGGAAGTAAGATTTTCTAAATTCGGACGTATATTAATATTATCTCGTCATATTTGCCGACCCTTTATGTTTTGTTACAAATATAAGCATCATGCACGGCTCGGCTAACATCTCATCTACGTGCTACCGTAATTTAACAAATTATTGTTGGAACTAACAATACACGCAGGCAGACATTTTACTCAAACCTTAGTAAACACCAGTTAGGATGACTTACACTATATTGTTGCAAATGACATTAGTTAGATATTGTTTCCAGATAAACGTATTTGTGACTGAGCTAGAATGAATTTCGTAAAGCAGTTCCTATATCAGAAGGTAAATTAATGTTCATTTATTAAACCGACAAATCATGTTCTGAATATATATTATAGATAACTTATTTTCCCCGATTCTATATGATTTACAATTATTTTCAAACAGTTTACATACCTATTTAAAAAAAAATCAAAATAAAATGGAAATGATGCCAAGGAAAGGACCATCATACTCGACATAATTAAAATAATACAAAATGAAATGGAAACGACTCGAGGAAAGAGCCATGGTCAAGATTTTGAATTTATTTTTGATTTGAAAATTTTTGATTTGAGAATTTGGTTTGGAGTTGATATCATAATTTTTCTTGACTTCAAAATGAGAACCGAAATGAATTGTTCACTAACGTATGAATATACGGTAAGAACGAAGACACGTATACATACAGACATCTTTATGAAAATAGCAAAATTGAAACGAGGATATACATATATTTTTAAATTTATTCTTTCGAAAATCAGCCTCATTACAATATTTTCCAATTGGGAAGTTAAGAAATAGTAATTTTGTCAGAAACATTTATCCAATAGAAAGGAAATCAAAGTGTCGTAAAAGGGACGTTAGGGTGCTAATGAACTTCTCAATAAAGTTTCGGAAAGGTTGGAGCCTGAAACTAACCAAATGATTGTTCTTATAGAGATCATCGCTTCAACTTGTAATGTAAGTAAATACATTTAGGCCTCAATAGTTAACTCACTAACTACTCTGAGTAAGTATTGTGGTCAGTGGTTAATTTATTTTAATTATTGCCGCCGTCTATATCATTTGATAAGAGAAGAGAACCAGAAACCTTTTTAACTCGTAACCTGAAGGAACAAGATATTCCAACTAACTTAGATGGAATGTCTTGTTTCTTCAGAATGACAATGCATTTGCATTTCGATTCTTAATCGAGGATAGATATGTCTATAGGCCATAGTATCCATTTGCTATAACATTGTGAATAGTGACAAAAATGTTACTATTACTTTCATAAAGAACCATAAAGTGTGATTTTAAATTATTTAAATTATATATTTGTAAATATTTAGTAAATTTATTGTAATTGAAATTTTATAAACTTAAACAAGTCAGCTTCATGTTTAAATTGTAAGCTCAACTTTTTCACCAGAATGGTTTTGAAAATTACAAGATATATTTTGTTAATAATATGTTTGTTAATCTAGTGTTTATCATAAATTTACTTATTTTAACGATTTATAAATGTAATATAAAAATTTATCTCATTTTAATTTTTCTACGTACACTCGTCAATTTTTCTCCAATAATAATTTGCATACCGTAATAAATACGTTTGAGTTATTTGTTCATAGTTTAATTTACAGGTGATTGTTTTAAATATATGCTTTTGAAATGCATTCCTTTAATAAATCTAATCACGTTTAAAGGAAATGTTTTTACAAAATATCTTTTGTTCTGTTTGATCTCTTATTATTCGGATCCCGTTTGAATTATTTAGGCTGCAGATCGTTCGTTATGAAAACTGAATGCTTTATATTATGTATTATATATTTGTATAAAAAATATTGCACAGTCTCTTCATAACTCCATGTTGATGTAGAAATTAGAATTGTTTGTTTTAAATTATTTATTCCTTAATAAATAAAACGAACTTTTCGTTGACTTCGTAGCGTAATACGCGCGTTGCTAACTTAATTGATTTGCACGCCTCACAACACAAAGCGTTATGAGATAGTGCTTTACTCTCGACACGTCAAGGTCAAGCACTTTAGTTTTCTTAAAATGCTTCTATCATAAACATATTGCATTTATACGATAATACAAGTAGCCGTATATCAAGAAAACACTAATTAATCTTATATTTTATAAAAATCATTTTATAATGCTACTTC